TCCATTGATGTTTTCTGAAGTCTTAATTCATAGCAATGGCTTGGGTTGGAATGGACCCCAAGTTCCATCATCAAGTTCCAACCTCTCTGCCACATGCAGGGCCACCAAACTCCAGATCTCATACTAGAACGGGTTGCCCAGGGCCCCATCCAACCTGGTCTTGAATACCTCGTTGGACAGAGCATCCACAGCCTCTCTGGGCAGCCTGTTAAATACTAAACTCTTCTTTTGTCTTTGAGGTTGGGTTACTGATATACTAGAAAAGAAAGTCAAATCGAGGAGAAGGGTGAACACTGCAAATCGTTCGACTAATGCTTTAGTTTGCCACATCAATTAAAATGCTAAATATTCATAGACGCGATTACTCTGAGTGATCTTCAAAGTAAGTGTGTACACTTAAAAATCAGCTACCCTACAGGTACTCTATATCATTTAAGCTACTTCCCTAGATATGCTAAATTTTTGCTAAAATTAGTGCAAGTATATCACAGATCCACAAGGCTTTTACAAGCAATTAATAGTGTTAAATGACTTGAGTATAAATAAGAGCCTTCTCTAAGGCTCTTCACTAAATCCTTCCGCTGATAGTTGAGTTCTGCTGTCTATTATATTAATGTAGAAACTGGCCCTGGGAATATTGGGTACCTATGAATAATTTGGAATAGATGTATTAGAAAAAAATTAGAGATGAGTTATGTTCAGAGAGGGGGCTAAATCCATTCGAGAAGTTGTTTGTTGCCAATTAATTACCTGCTGCTAATTAGAATAATAAATTTGAGCATAGTTGTAAGTCTTGGCAACAACTTACACTGTAGGCTTATCTGGAAGCCTCACTAAATGTTATCATTAGGATCTGTGATAAATCTGTCATAACAGGTGAAAATGAATAAAAAGACTAAGAAGCCTCAAAAAACCCATAATTCTACACAGCAGAAGTCTTTACACTTTATAAATGTGATGGCCCCTGGGAGTATTCATGTGAATTGATTAGCTCAGTCTTTCACATGCTGTTATAAAATACAAAACTTCTGTACTTATTGAAATTCAGTATAAAAAATGGAGGCATAATTCTTTTTTATGATAACACTTGCAATTTAAAAAAGTATGTATTTCTGCCAGTAAAACTGTAGTAGAGAGGTCCAAGCTGGAAGCTGTAAATATGATCTAGTTATTATTTCTTCACTTTTGTACTTCTGTATTCATATTGCACCAATGTGAGAGACGGAGGATTGCTATCTAAAGGGTTGCTTGGTCTGTCCTAAGGATCATGTGATTCATTAGCCTACTACTTATTAAAAAAAGAAGAAAAGAGCTGGTAACTCACAAAATGATGTACGTATTAGAAACATAAGATGATAATGTTTTTCCCATGAGTCCTTTTCCATGATGAAATTGGAGTCAAAGCATTATGTAGTGTAGACATGCTCGTATAGAACAAGGTCTTTGCATCTGTTGAAGAAACGTACTCCCAACATGTTGTTGCTCTATGTTGGTTTCAGCCAGATGATTATGTCAGAATACGATCTTTAAACAGACATTTGGCAGCACACTAGAATTCAGTGTATTTGAATTGCTAGTTACTGAAATTCAACTGAATGATCTTAAAAACTGCAGCTGTTTTACAACCTCATTTAAAATAGGATGACATTAAAGAAATGGTTTCTTTTGAATTTTTATTTTGTATTGAATTACTTCTAATTTTACATGAAATGCTGCTTTTTTTGGTGCGCAGTCTTCATAAATTGCTGTCTTGTCAGTATGCCAAGGCATACTAAATTAAAAAAATTAAACTAGTGGAGAGTTAACTTTATACACGAAGGTCTCTGCCAGTTAACTACCTAATGGATTTTAATGAAACAGATCTGGGCAAAATCGCACCATTAAGGTCTCTTATTCTTGAACCAATAATGCTCAGTGTGTTTGTTAACTGCCTGAAAAATAGTTATAACAACAGGATAACAACACTTCCAGATGATGTGAAATTGATCAGGTTAATTCAAAATAACTGCAACCACGCAATCACTGAAGTACCTGTCAATACTGAGTCACTGAAACAGTAAGATATCTGATTAAATTAATTGTTAATGAACATAGTTGGAAATGTGAGAAGGAGCCAGAAACTGAAGAGCCACCTTACATCACTGGACAACTAACTCTAAACTATGTTATCACTTATATATCCATTTTGAAATAAAAGTAGTTAGGCTTTCTGGAAGATAAGCATGGAATAGCTCTCTTCAAAGCACTTAAGTAAATAAAAGTAATTTAGGGAATTCTTGGAAAATGGAGATGTACAGAAAATATAATCCAAATATATGTTTATATGATGCATCTGAATTTTGGATATGGTGCGCTCTTCCTGCATCTCATCTTGGAAGGCCATTGGAGAACTAGAAATGTTTTTAAGAAACGTGGGGAAGGGTAATCAGATGATCAGAGGTGAGAGATCACTTTTGTATGCTGACAGATTGGATAAGCACAGTTTTGATGTCTTGAAAATGAGCTAAATCAAAGGAAATCAGTCACAGCGAATAAGCTAGTGAATTGTACAAATGCGGCTACGGTGGAGCTCTCTTCAAAATCTCTTGCCATACAAGAACTGCAGAGCTTGTATTAATATCTCAAGGCAATAAGTTTAAAATAAGCTATAAGAAATAGTTGTTCATACAAACCCTAATCAAAGTGTAAGCCATCGTCTCTAGATGTTGTAAAGGCCAAAAGTTTAACTGAGTTCAAAAAGGGATTAATGGCAATCTTTTGTTTCATGAATTGTGAAAACATCCTTCACAGATGTGTATTTTGGCTTAGGAAGTTCATAAGCCACTAATTGACAGAAGATGGGAAGGAGGGGTTGCTCAGCTCCTCCAGTGCCTCTCTCAAATGTTCCTTATGCATCTGCTAATGGCCGTGTTGGGAGCAGGATAATGGGCTAGACAGGTTTTTAGTCTGTCCCATAATGGGTGTTTTTATTTTGTAGGTGTGGTAATTTTTTTTTTTTTTCAGTAATGGGTGACAAGATGGAAATTATCAACTTGTTTTGAGACATCATTAAATGCTGTCTGGAATATGATTTTTAAAAGTTAATTAGGGATGATTCTACTTGGCTTTCCTTATTTTAATATGCAAAAGATAATCTGCAAATTCATGCCTTGAATGTTCAGAAGATTTTGTCTATTTAGATGTGAGATGTGAGAAGTGAATGAAAGTGAACTCATATTTCTTCACTTTACTGATCATGAGATTAGTTTAAATCATAATGTAGCAGAAAAGTTGATGTAGTGAACAAGGGGGGTTTTTAGTGGTCCTTTGGTTCTGAGATAAGGTAAATGGTATTTCTGCCAGTGGAATTAAAGGATGTTAAATTTCAGATGACAAAGATTTCTATGTTACACAACTGTTCTTTGGTCAATTACTTTAGTAGGAACTGAGACAAATGAGAATTTCTTTAAAGTCTTTTGTGTACAATTTCATAATTTTTTTTTCTTTTTGGACTGAAGATTTCTATTTGAGAATAGAGGAATTGAGCTATTTCTTGTTTTATCCAACTAACCTTATATTTGAGTATTTCTCTCCATGTGAATGTATAATATAAGAGTTTATTTGTACTTGCTAAACAGAGATTTAATCAATTATCATAGTGCACTTTGGAAATGAAAAATACATTACTCTGTCAAATGAGTTTATCCTTTACTGCACGTAAACTGTGCATGTCATTATAAATCATGATCTCAAACTTCTGGAGTAGTTATTTTTGTCTATTAGGAAACCTTGCTTCACATCCAAAAAAGCAATAAGGAGACTACACATAGTGAGAAGAAAGTGAGTCACAATCAATCATAAAATACAATTACACAGTCCTCAAGCTGAGTAAAATAAAGACCTTAAATAGCAGCAGCTTGAGAAGTTTAAAATTAAAAGAAGTTTCACTGTATTTGCTGAAAAGGGAAAACTGATCAATGAAACCGATCCTTTGTCTCTTGTCTGCTGTTGATTTATGTAAAATTATACTTGAGGTGAGCCTCCTGCATATGTTTATAATCAAAATTTGGTAATTCGTGCAGCATTATCTCTGTGGTCTGGAAGGGAATTCAACCAGTGCTGAGCTCAAGACTTGAAAGGTCCTTCCCCATCACTGTCTACATGTTGGCTAATGCAATCACAGAGTTTGCTCTAACAGGCAGGCTTTGGTGTAACAGCTCAGGACATTGGACTGGATGATCTTAGAGCTCTTTTCCAACCTTGCTGATTCTATGTGTTAACAGCTGTGCTTCTGTCAGAGTGTGCAAGGGCTCAAAAGGCAGGCTCATTGCCATTGCGCCCTTGCTGGTCAAGGAGTTTCTTGCAGCCTCACTTGTTTATAGTTTGATCGCTGTAGTGCAAAAATGTGCTCTGGAAGTCAGATGTGCAAATTTTACAGAAACATGAGAGAAGGCGAATTTATCATCAGAAAGAAGAATCCAGCTGAGGTTTATGGGGATTGTGATGTGGGAGAAATTGATATTGCTGACAGTACCATTAGTTGTCTTGGTTTGGCTGTCCCACAGTGGATGTAAGGGCTTTGGAGAGATGTTGCAAGGTAAAACTTGTTCTGTGCAGAGACTGACAGGCAAAGTGTAGTCCTATAAACAGCAAACAAACACATAACTTTGTTACTTTGTCACATCAAATGCGAAGGACTGCAGGACTGTTTTCCCCCAAAACTGCAGCTTAAAATTCTGTTCAGTCATCCCCAATCTCTACTGATTTTTCTCTGATTTTTGCAGTATGCTTTTTGTAGTAGTTCTGTAGAGCAAAAGTGATCAGAAACCCAGAACTTGTCACTGGAATAGAAAGGAAAGCGTGGTTCTCAATGAATACTACAAGCAAAATGTTTGTTCAGTCTGTTACCTTTTGACAATGAGTGGCAGTTTGGTGGTTAAATATAACAGTGTTTTATTGCTGATGGTTATTCCAAGATCTCTTTGCCTCATCTTGTTTTTTCTTCTTTCCCTGCCTCTTAGCATGCATTTAATGCAGGTGGACTCTGTTCAGCGGTGGATGGAAGATTTGAAGTTGATGACAGACTGTGAATGCATGTGTATTCTCCAGTCCAAACCGATCAGTGCTGAGAAGGATGAACAAAGTGAACTCATTCTTTCCTCTCAGTATAACACAAGTGATAATTTACAGTTGCTATTAAAAAGAGCTTGGATAATAAGCACAGAGTTGACCAGGATTGCTCAGAAGTTGGAGAAGAATAGATGGCAAAGAGTCCACAGCATGACAGTAAGAGTCAATTGCCATGTACGTTCCATGATAAATGAATACAATGCATTTACCAGGAGTTCGTCGGAAGAAATGAATCAGGTAGGAATGCTTCATTTGATGTCTTTTATCTTTTGTTTTTGGTAATAATTGCAATTTTATACAATCTCATTTTTTCTTATTATATAATTTCTTTTCAGTTGTAAAACCATTTTGGAGTCAATGTAGATCTTATTTTACCATAGGCCTGATTGTCAAAGCTGGTCATGTTGACCAATTAGATTGTAAAAAATTTAGTTTTTGGTGAACACTGCACTGAAATATCAGTGAGTTTCTTTGCATTTAAGATCTAGATGCTATGTTTTTATTAATCTTATTTTTATCTCTACTTGTTTTATTTAGAAGAGTAGAAAAAAAAAACAACACAAAGAAATAGTGCTTATATGACATAATAGATCTGTAGTTTTTTACCTGATTAACATGAGCAAGCATGTATTTTAAAGAGCAAACACATATGGATACTAAAAATCACCTTTTCCTTCTATCTGTCCAGATGGAAAACCTTTTAATAGACAAGTGTTCAGAATTTACATCATTTACAGAAAGGTAATTTAAATTTTTGGATTGAAATATTCGTTTTGCTGTTTTATTATGTTGTAGAGTTTGTGATGAGAAGTGCAAATCCACTACCATTCTCAAATGTTTGAACTAGGCCCCTGCAGCTCTGAAAGGCTTTCCGAATGTTAGCCCCAGTGGATGAAGTGAATTGCTTTTATCTAAACTGCATCTTAATGAAAGATGGGATCCGCTGTTGCACAAAGAGCCTGGCATGGATACGGAAGATCATTTTTCATAGCTTTTAGGTATCAAGGGAGAAAGTCTGATTCTAATGGTGTAGGTGACAAAGCTTTCACAGAGTTTCCCTGTGGAAAGCCAAGATTTCAGCTTCTGTGGAAAACTTTCATATTGTTTCTTTATAGACATAGTCATAGTTGGCATTCCTCTGAGTATCCACATATTAGAAAACTAAACCCAAATAAATATGTACTCTTTTAATTTCATATGTAGGTTTAATTAGCGCCATGCACTCTAGAATGCTGAGAATACAAAATAAGAATTTCTGTGTAATCCTTCTCATGATATTTACCCTACCTTATGTACATTATCCTGTTTCCTCCATTGCAATTCAGTTGGTCTTTCTCTACTTCAAATGCCACACCAGTCATTCTTCTCAGAGAATCATGAGGGGAAAAGATGGCTTGTAATGATCAGGAAGGAATACCCCTTGAGCACTAATGCTGTTTGCCAAACTTGCACAACTCAAACTTTACTTTTTTATTCTACTATGGGGCATGCTGATTTAACAAGATCCTGTAGTGATCCTCTCTCTCTTTTTCTGTTTGACAAAAACTTGTTAAATGAAAGACAGGTACTTCTGAAAAGGGAACATAATATGTAGGTGGAAACCCTGATCAACAAAACTGTATCTTCCATTGCAGCAGCTTGATGAGGTGGAATAATTTTTGACAAATTAAAATAATGCATTTCTGTGCAGCAGTACCAGTTATTTCATTTGAATAATTCATCTGTATCTGAATGCACAAATGTATCATCTGTAGAATGTATGATGAATCTTTATCTTTGCAACCAGTTGCACCTGGTTACGGGATGGTTACACCAACTCCATAAAGCTGCTCTGTGTAATCATTCTTCACAGAGGGCTTTATTTCACTTTTGAGTATGTTGCTTAAATGATCTTTATTCATTTGGACAGATTCAGATTGTTCCCTTGTCCTGCTTTTATTAAACTATGGTGAAGAAAGTAAATGAAAATTATTGAGAACACTTCTTAGTATGTCCCTCTGTGTTTCACAACCAGAGCTGCAGCTGAAATGCAGGCATCCTCGAGTGACTGTAACTATAAGCATAAGAGAAAAGTAGAGTTCTGCTGGTATAAACACAACATTTGCAGCAAAATTAGGTCTGCAGTGTATGAAGCAGATTGTGATCCCCAAAGTATTCATTATTGTCTATTGTTGTCCTTTGGTGTTATGCTTACTATGTGCAAACAAAGCTTTGATACTCTGGTGTAGAGCTCACCTGTGGCAATCATGATGATAAACAATTGGGAGTCTATTGCATCTTGTTTTCCTTCATTGCTTCCCTCTCTCTTTTATTTTAGGTGCATACAAGTAGAAGATGAACAGATGCTGAAGTCTATGAAATCTTGTATTAATGAAACGCTCACTTCTGTTGCTCAGTATTTTGGCCAGTTGATAGAGCTGGTTTTAACACATGAGGTGCAGGTTAGTCTGCAGTATAAAAAGAAAAGTAATAATAATAATAAACATCTTCACCGATGTGAAGTCTTGAAGGAGAATTTTGATTAAGAGAAGGGTGATATTTATATCTCTTTTCAGCAAATCGGTGGTCAGTAATTCAAAAATCTTGCAAAGAGATCTAAATGTGTTTTTTTACCTGATTTGTTTCCTAAGCAGAATGATCTTGTGGATTACAGTGTTAATTATCATTCCTGATACATATTTTTTTCAGTACAAGGAAGTCAATCTCTGGATAATGTCGTCTTAACAAGACCTTTGTACACATTTTTTCTCCCTGTACAGGCACTGCCTTTCTTTAGAAACCTCAAAGTTTCTCCTGCTCTCAACAGCTCCTATTGAAAGCTAAAACTTCTAGAAGACATACATATAATATATATATATTATTACAGCACACATTTTACCTAGAGCATATCTTAGACTCTGGGAAGTCGTGATTAAAATAACAACCTTTGTACAGGCTATGTGTGACTATCAGTATTGTTTTTGCACCAAAACAGCAAATAACCCTTTGCATGGGCTTATCATAACCACCACTGGTTTTGGAATACTTCCCTCCTCCATAGTGTGAGGACTGATGAGAGCAAAACTTCTGTGTGTGTGTGTGTGCATAGAGCATTCCAGAAATACTGCTGTATCACTACAGGCATGACATGTAATTTCCAGTGGTGATTAAAAGTTGATAAAACACAGAGTAATCTGAGATTATAGATGCATTATACTTTGTCCATTAAACCATTCTTGAGGTAATAACTTGAAAGTCTAAGCAATCTATCTTATGCTAGTTTCTTGAGATCTCATTAACTGTCTCTTTGCACCCTTTAATCTTGCTCAAAAAACCCCAACAAATGTAATTAAGCTCAATTAATTTGTCCATATTTCAGAAGTGATGTTATATTGAATTTTTTTTTATCCTATCAGGAGAATGAGAGGCTTGATGAAGAAGTAACTGTTAAACAGTATTTACTACTGTACTAAAACAAAATACTGAATGGTATTGGTTAAATTCTTTTGTACCTTGATGCTTTAAATTAGCAAAAGTTGAATCATCTTCTGTAGTTGCTAGAAAGTGTCAAGAATATATTTTCAGAATTATAACAAGCTACAAGGTAACAAGCTACTGATTAACACACTTTGGCTAGAATTTATAAGAATAACATGAAAGGTGGTGTATGAACTTTAGTGCATAAATAACTGCATGTTGCAATTTCAGTGAGTAGGCAGTCATTCTTCTGATGTTTGTTCTCTTGAATTTGAAGAGAAGTCCTATATTGCTAATAGTTCTGCCTCTGGATACTTTGATATTTGCTGACACATTAAATCCGAGTCCCTGTATGTTTTAAGAAAGCAAGATTAATTACTCTGCACTATCCCATAAGCATTTGCATTGCTGAGTTCTTGGAGAAGAGGTTGTTAATAAAAACCATGAAAATAATATTTCTCAGAATCATCCAGCCATGTCGTGCACCCAGTTCTGCCTTAAAGGTTCTGCCTTCTGTGGGTAGTTTGCCCTGGAGAAGACAAAGCATCTGAAAGAGAGGCCATGATGGTTGGTTACTAAAGAGCTTTCTTTTCAGACCAGTGTATAAGGAATTATTGATGAAAAGGATTAATATTAAAGTGGGAACTGATTATTTAAGGGAGATGCTAAGAGTGGGAGAAAGCAACTTTTAAAGGGAAGATATATGAATTTTCTGTCAGTAACTGTAAAATATAATAAGGGATATTTCTTTCAAAGCCGCATTAAATACATAAACACTTGCCTTCCTCCTTCTAATAAATACAGTTAGTTCTTTTTCTTGTGATTGCATGAACTTTCAAAGAATAAAATTAAGCTTTGTATTTTCTAACAGCTATGTTTACCTGTGCAACTGCAATGGCACACATGAAGATGTAAGATAACTACTTACAAATATAAAAATATTTTACCTACTTCATGTATTTGAGAAACAAATGCATGAAATATATTTCTCCTAATAATTCCTGTTATTAGTCAGTATCACCTTTCAGTTTTATGCCTAAACTGACAATAATGATGATCCTAGAGACAGAAAGTTATATTAGAAAGGGTATAGCAATATTACATATGAATAATGCAGAATATTTACACAACCTGTGATACAGTTTCTGCATGGAGGCTGTTTCCTTCTTAAGTTTGTAGTTCAATTCTAGGTCAAATACAAGAATAATTTACTAAATAACTTGAGCTCTCTTTTTAACGTTTTCAAACACATTCCTCTTTTCTATTCATGCTTAATTTTTCCTGTTGCTGTTCTTAGTTATGTCTATTCAAATGTGATATTGAATGTGTTATAATATTACTGTTTTGACTCTTGCCCTTGTTTTTATTTTTGCTTGGGCTGGGTGAGAAGAAAAAATATCAAATAGAGTAAATGGGCTTGACTTCCCACTGTATTTCATCTTAAATACAATAGTGTTTATCACTGGAAGTAACTGGTTTTTAATTACCTTATGTCATACAGAACCTGCTGAGACAAATAGAATCGTCGGATAGTGTGTACATCACTGAGTCAGCAATTAACAGCTTATTCAGCCTCACCCAGGAAGGTACTCATCTGTGCCGTATCATAGCTAAGGTAAGGGGGTAAATACATGGATTAATTCAAAGTAAAATTAGTAATCTGAGTAGGTTATTTTGCTGTTCACCCTAGTGGTGGTGACTTTTCAAAAGTAGAGTAGTACAACATGAAATCCTGTGTCTTAGGAGATGTGATGTAAATTGAAGAATGCCAGAAACTTACTCTAAGGAACTTTTTCCTTTTGTTGCTTTCAAAATAAATTGAAGGTGAGAAAGAGAAAAGGAAGTAGACAAGAAGACTCATGTCAGTTGATGTCTCTTCATGATGTAGGTATTTCACAGCATTCAGTTGGCTATTCTCTTGTTTCAATTTGTGTCATTTTTTAAAGTTCCTCCTGCCAGTTACTTCTACATAGGGCCCTGACTGTGTTATCTTGATAGCATCCTCTCAATTGGAAGGCTGCTGTTATTTTATTCTGCCTATGTTCCTCCTATCCTCTCCCAAAATTCCTGCTTTATAATGTGCTCTTATAACATAAATAGCATAATTTAATTGATTACCCCAAATGAAGTGAAATGGAAGGAAATTCTCAATAGTTTTAAGTGCCCAATTAATGTTGATGATTCTTTACATTGCAGGCGAGCAATTCAGACAAAAGTTGTATGGGGAAACAGAGGAATGGAAACCTATAGATGTGTTTTCTGTCTTTCTGATACAGTTTTCTTAAGCCTTTCAGATGTTATTGCTACACTTCACTACGCTTGAAGTCAAATTTTGCTCTGGACTGAAATTTTCAGTTGTCAGTTTGAGTTCAAACGAAACATGCATCCCGAAATTAATTTAATCTGTTGAAACTAAACTTAAAAACATAAATATTAGAGGAATACGTACTGAAAAGGTAGTACCCAAGGAGAAGTAACTTCTTAAAAGCAGCCCAATGCTTTTGCGTGAAAAACCTTTATTTTAGCATTTCAGCACCTTATCTCAATTATGGATTTGTAAATACCAAAATACAGGAGTTATAGTGCCAAGGGCAGGGAGAAAGAAAGCCAGCTGCCCTGACTTCTATCTCACCTTTATGTTTAAGCTCTAAACAGCATCACTAGTAAAGGAGTATCTGTCATAGGTAGTTTGTTGGCATTTCTCTCCAAAGGTTGTTCTTCATTAAAGTTCAAGGCCTCTACAGGCAACTGGAGTAGGATAAGCTCCAGCTGGCTTCTGGGTATTGATTCAACTGCAGTTGTCTGTATCATCAGGTATACTGCTGCTCCTTTCAGCACTTTGGGTATCTTTTTAGTCTCTCAGCAGATGGTAGTTCTAAGTATCAGCCATGTAAGTAGAGAAACTTTGCAATTGATTATGTATATAGCTACTGAGTACACAGAGAAACAGAAAAACTCTTCAGCTATTTGTACTGAGGATGATAGAGATATTATTAAAGATGTAATTTTAGAAATACTTTGCATCCATTATTTACCTTTTGCAGAAGGATATCATCACAGCATAGGTACTTCATGCAGTGTGTTCTCATTTACTGATGAACTGATGAATTTGCTGATAACATTGGATTTAAACCCATTGCTCTGCTGAGATTCATAATTCTATCAATCCCTGCAAAGTCTATACCTTTGATACTTGGATTTTGAAAAAGTGAGAAAGGAAAGGCATTTTGTGAGGTCAAGCAAAGAATAATCTCATCTTCAGTGTACATAGAGGGAAATATCTTTTCCCAAATTTCTCAAGCTTCTGTTTGTAGAGAGAACATGCCAACCTCTTGTCCTGCTCAGAGATGAAGTTAAATAGAACTATCTAATTAGTTTTATCTCTATCTATATTTATAGATGTTTGCATAGCAAAAGGTGCCACTGAAGGCTCTGAATGAAGCAGAATCAAATGTGTAGTGGATTCTGGCAACTGCATGAGGGGTTTAATTTTTTCTGAATTGGTATTTGAGCTCCACTCAGTGGTATCCAAAACAATTTTAAAATGTTGAATATTGAGGAAGTGCAGGACTAACAAATTGAGGAAAATTGTCTTGTGCTTTTTGTCACTGTGAGAATTCCACAGACAGTTCCATTTAGCAGAAGTGAAGTCTGACCTTCAATAAAATCACTAAATTAATTTATTACTAATATTACACGGATGTGTCACAGGATGCGCTAAATGATCTCCAAGTGAGGAAATGCATGCTCTTATGCAAAGAACCCTGTGTGGTGTTTGGTTGCCAAACTACAGTGGTGATTGTATCGCTTGTCATGCACATCTGTTTCCTCTATGCACTGAAATGTAATTGTCCAGACTCACCTTCATCTTCTGTGTTGCATCAGTTACCTGCATCACTGAGCATGGGGGCAGAGGAAATGTGATGGACGAGAATTTTGTATTCCATCACTCGAATAGGTTGCTATGACAGGGAAAGTGCAAGGTGATTTAAACAAAACAAAACAATAATCTGGCACTGCACCAGCTCATTACAAGGGCAAGAATGGATTCAGTTTTTGCAAAGATCTCAAAACTTCTTGTGGACACAGAAGTTCCTTTGAGAACACTGTTACTGTTGAAAAAAACTGGACAGAGAAGTGGAATAATTCAGAGAAATATGTGAAATGCATTTAGTGGTTTTTGTGTTAAGCTATCAATTATGGCTCTGTGATACATCAAAATTTTGAGTATAAAATCAAGAATGACATAAATTTTGGAAAGCTGCCTGAAATTGATCTATTGTTTTCATTTTGGTAAGGTTTTCAATCACTACACTCTCTTCCTTATTTTCCCTTGCTAATACTGTTATCAAAATCAAAGTCTTTGAAAGGCAAAAATCCTCTTCTACAAAGCCACCTACGATTTTATTTCACTTGGAAATTGTTTTGAGTGTTGAGGTTAAAGTTAAAATGAGTTCAATATTTTTTTTCTTTTTAGAAATGTAACTGTAATGTTCTGTGAAGGTCATGTTGCTGTATCACCCATTGCTGCTCAGTGTTCTCCACATGAAATGTAAAGACTGAGATCGCTAACATAAACGAGTAGCAGTAAGCACAGGATAAGAAATGGAGAAATCTTAAAATTAAATTATAATAGTGATCATAACAATCCTTGAATTTTGAGTTAATATAGAAATAAATGCTATGCTGAGGATTTTGAATTAGATGCCACATTCATCTATTGTCAGTGCTGAAGGGGCAAGAAAGGAAACTCCACCAGTGAGCTTAAAAGCAAAAAGAGGACAGGAAGAGTCAGGTGCAGAATCTGTTGCAAAAGCTCGTTTCAGTCAAGTTTTTGTCAGTGGATCGGTTTCTTACCTTTGGATCTGAATGTTGCTAATATCCTCTTCATCTGTCATATCTCATGTACATGACATGTACTTAGGCATAAAATAGCATGACTTAATTATATCATTGTCTGTGGCTGCATCCTTTACAGGAGTGTATTCACAATCTTTTTCATAATATAGTCTATTAGATTTTGATCTTCAAATCTTTCTTATTAAAACCCACAAATTAGTATCTTTGTTGTTGAACCTCTACCATCATGTTCCAAGATCACAAGGAGTTTTTAAAAAACAAAAATTAAATGCTTTGAGTGAATTTGAGCACCTGTCAAAAACTCTAGCATTGCTTAAGTAGACTGTCTCTAAATTGATTCAGGATTGTGACAAGCAGAAGAATCCATAGCAATCAGTTCCAAAATTAAAATTAATACATAGTGGGACATCAAGTAACACAGAAAATGTTTTAAAAGAAATTCACTGTGAAATTCACTCTTCACTGAACTCCTTGTGCAGTGTGGCTTTTTATTCTCATGACATCCTTCATCACGTACTTGTGATTGTATTTCAGGTGATTTCTTTTTTATCTAGTGTTAGGCCTTCTGAATATCATCTCAGGGAATTCTCTAGGAAATTGAATTCCTGCTAATCCAGTATAGGAGAAAAGCAGATCATCAAGCAGTAAAGCAAGTTGCCCTATCATTGCAGAGTATGTGAAGCCTGTCCCAAATGAAACCTGAATTACAGCAAAAGCAATGCTTCTTGTGGTTTTCTTTTGGTTCCAGTTATCGACCAAAAGTCTACAGAGGATAAATAGAAAGATGAAAGCATGGTTACATATATCAGGAGCTTTAGCAAAGGTGTAGAGCTGGCTGATTTCCAAAGCAAGAAAAATTTTGTGCTGCTAGGATTCTTTGAGTGTTAAATAAGTATAAAGTACAAGAATAAATGTGACCAAATTATACTTAGCCCTGTGAGATGGAGTAACTCAGTTATTGTGCCATCATCAGAGAGACAGATTCAGAAAAAGGTGAACTACTTCTGGAGAATGCTGAGATACCAATAAAGCTTTGGGCACCTGAGTGCTTTTGACAAGCCATAGAATCAGGCTCACTATTTCCTACTTGCTCTATATTTCACTTACAGCTCTCGAGATTCATTACTTATGGTCAACATTTTACAACTTGGTACTGGTATGCGGTGCACATAATAAACAATTTGGATCTTCTCCCAACAAACACAGTGATAAATCACTTCCTGTCCCTCAGAGACAAGAGCAAGGCACCCATTTGTCAAAGAAAGCTTGAAGCCAACGTGCAGTTGTCATTATTGTCATTTACAAAGTTCTGCTTATTATAATCAAATTAGAGAACCAGATTTCTCTGATCCCACAGAACTGTGAGTACTTTCATACTGACAATAGGACCAAAGAAATCCCAGTTACCTCAGATCTGAGGACAGCACTGTACTCATTTCTATGTTTATTAATAGATACTTCAATTATTACAAGGGGGAAATACCAATATCCTTTTATGGATGGAAGAATCACGGTAAGAATTTTTCTTGTTAGTGTTCTGCCTTTTATTTTAAAGGCTGTGAAATGTCTTTGTGCGGTAAGCTGAATATAGCCCCCGTAGAAATAAAATAACTCAAAGATATACATGCACTTCTTACAATTCCACAAATAAATTTTACTCTGAAGAAACCTTGTTAAGCCTTCTCTTTTCACTGATTTCATTGAAATGGCACAAATGTCTGTAAAGATACTATAAAAAATTTGAATCCTGAAATTATGTTGAGATGTTAATTTTTGTCTAATTTAATTTTAAGACAGTATCTATTTTTTTGCCAGGCTGAATGGACACGTTATCTTACTCTATTATTCTCTGCTAAATTCCAGCAGAACTAGCACAAAAATGTGAAAGAATTCTGAATTGTATTCTGGACATTTTTTGTTAGAATAACCTGTTGAGATTTCAAATACTGTAACTGGAGGAAGAGAAGAAGATGATAAGTAAATCTGAAAGATATTTTTTTAGAGGCTACTTAAGTAGGCTTAGTCTGAACAATCTACACTAAACTTGGTCCATCATTCCAATTAGTTTTAACTCATACCTGTGGTATCACTACTTACTTTAGACCAAGGTTTTTCATTTGTGAATAACGTTTAAAATTCTTTCTTCACTGTGTGGCTACTTTTACATGGAAAAAAAATAAATTAAAGCTTCTGTAGTTTGCCTGGCAAGCATAACGTTTAGAAACAACACAATCCAAGAAAAACCTGAAGTGCATATATTGTTTGTATCTGTACCTTTCCATTTATTATGTAACTTTTGCTACTATTTACGTTTGCACTTTGCTGGAAATGATGAAGGGCAGCTACTAGAGGGATTTTTATATACTCAATTATTTTTTGTTATGTGCCATATCTGAAGAAAAATGCGTAGGAATGCAAATTTTATGTGCTAGAAGAGGAATATATGGATTGTATCATTGTAGAATTTGTCACCTTTGACATTTTCGATAGCTCTTCAGCCTGCGACCTTCTCTTTCATATTTTATTAATGTAAAATTACGGTATGGATATCAGAAACATAGAGGAATGTGAAATATTTGCTAACATATCTGTTTTTAATTGATAGCATGTAGTTGAACTATCAATTAAATATCACTCCAGTTGCAGCCTATTGATAATTCTTTGTCATTTTCATATGGATGTCAAGTTTAATTTAATTTGTTCTTATTGGTAAAAGTCGACTGCTTAAGCACACCTCCTACTGAGGCTGTATTACTTTTTCATCACTTTCTGTATAAGCGTTAATCAACTTGAGTTCTCTGTGCAAGTTTAACATCCTTGTTGTTTTGATGATAGCTAATTTGGATATATTAATAAAGGACTCTGCCCTTCCCTCTGTCCCAATCTCAATCATGTTGTAGAAAAAAGTTTAGTGCTATTTTTCTGATTTCTGCTTTTCATCTGCAGGAAGGAGGTGTCGTTGCTCTCTTTAAGATCTGCCGCCAGGATTATTTCAGGTGCCTTTATCCCCAGACATTGAGAACATTGGCATCCATTTGTTGTGTTGAGGAAGGGATGCACCAGCTGGAAAAGGTAGGCATTTCTGTGCTTTTTATTGACTGCATCATAAAAAGAGAAATCCCATGTTTAATCTCTTCTAGAAACTGTTAACTTTATGGCATTTGATACTGTGCTCTGTTGAATGCTTCCTTTTTCAGTGCTGAACACATCTTCAATCTTTGCAAAATTAGTCGTAACAAAAAAGCATCCTATTAGTTATTTACACAAGTAAGCTTCCTAAGTGGGGATAATTTTCGTTAAGCAGCCAAATACATTAGTGACTACGTCAAAAAGAAAAAAAAAAAAGATAATTTCTGGACTCTCTAAAGCACATATTTAGAAACTCTAATGCTTCAAATAACCTTAGAACGTAGAAAGCTTTATACCTCTTTAAATCTTTCTCCTGACACTTATGTAGGGCATGTACTTGAGGTAGCTTGTGAGAGTTGTAATTGCAGAGAAAGAAGCGCAACAGATATAGCAGCCAACCAGTAAAAAGTGTCTGCTAATCAGTAATAAGTTTTCTAAAAGCCAATTTTAAGTAAGATAGAGAACATCAAAACAGTATGCACTATCAACTGTTTAGGCTTCATTCCTTTTTCACCCTTGCTATACACTGCTGTTTTGGAAAATGAACACTTCTCCTAGTCGCTAAATCATGATCTCATCCTTTTGTATTTCATAAAACAGTCATCTTCCAGAGCTGAATAATGGCCTCTTCAAGTTAATGATAAATGATTTCACTGCCGCTTTACATTGACGTATCTTGTAATTTACTGCCACAGAATTCAAGCAAACTATGACAGAATATCTGCTGCAAAAATGAAGTCTCTGAGCTTACAGTAAATGAAGATGACTTACCTTTTTTTTTTTTTTGACATAATGCTAGTTCAGATTGACACCAAAATCAGTCTAAAAGGATCTCTCATTATGTTGATAAGAATAGCAGAATTTATAAAGTTAGAGATGGAAAGAACTGATTAAGCTCACCTGGTCCAGTAACACTGAACAGATTTTTAATAGAACTACTTAACACTGATTTCAGTAGCTCATTTTCTTCTGACCCTTCAACTCCCAAAATCACACCTTGGTGAAAATGTAGAATTAATGTCTAGCCCTTCTTTTCTGAACAGGAGAAGGTTTATAACTGAACTGTTTGGGTAATCACTTTGTCAACTTTTTTGCCTAAAATTGTGTCACTGAGGATCTATGTGTTGTGTGGGTCCAGTACATTTTTGGAGTTCTCAGGAGGAGAATAAGATATTTCATGAAAAGAAACAAAGATCTTTTCTTTGAAAGAGGTTAATGTCTCTCTGAGTACTGGATGTTGAACGTGAAAGGCCAGTACAGTGCTATTTCATATGTAAAAATATTTCAGCTGGTGATAGCCCAGCTTTGTGATTGTAGAGATGAAGGAAGGATAATATGTGAGAAACTTTTACCACCATGTAACCACAGTTCATTTACATCTATCTGAAAGTAAAACAGTGTTGGTCACCTGGGAATTAATGGAAGGTGCCCTAGATCAGAAGACCAATATTTTGATGTGAACACCACACTCATTTTTAATATTGTTGTCTTTGAGTAAGGATGAATTATTTTTCCTCTTAAAATTTGAAATGCTCTTGCAAAGACATAAAGGAGGGTTAATAATAATAACATTCCTGAAATTACCACTGAACTTCTATCTGCCAGAAAGAGCTGTTTCTGTTACCCAGCTAAGCACCGGGGGTGGTTGTGAAGCATTTAATTTGCTCTTATGTGAATATCAGTATGATTAACTGTTACAGAAATCATCTACTATTTTGCCTATTTTAAGCAGGTACACTTTCCCCAACTTTTAAAGAATAATTATTTTTCTTTCCAGCCATGCATCTTTAAAGATGTATATCTGCACTCTGTTCTCTTAAAGCACACTTGAAAAATGATCTTGATAAACAGTTACCACAGCCACATTGTTGCAATGATTAGCTTTACTCTTTCAGGTGAATCTAGTAGGCCATACTTACAATAATAAAAAATCTGTTGCTTGGAGTGCCAATTTATTATAGTTATTTAACTTGCAAGTGCTTTCCTGATTTTTAAAAATATGCTGTTACTTTGTGGTACATGTAGGTTCTGGGTTCCAGGAACTCAACAGTATCAAATTAAGCTTTTAATGTAGAAAGAGAGTGAAGAAGTCACCTCATTTTAGCTGACGTTTGCATGTAAATAAATCGAGCTCTGTGTAACCTGTGCTTCACAAGTGGGTAGTGAGTGCTTCAAGCTGCTTATGGATTTCCACTTGTTCAGTACACCTTATCTTCATAATCCACTGTGACACCAGTGGACCCATTCAGAGGAGTAGAGAGGTCCTGAAAAAGTGTTCACCGTTTCCATCCTTTGTGTTATTCCTGTAGCTGCCTATCCCTGTACCCAAGAGAGCTTTGTCATTCGTCTTGTGGCCCTTGAGCATGCAAACTTGTTAGGAGAAAGCCCTAAAAGTATGATTATTTTTAGTCTAGGCATTCTGGAATTTAAGCAAAGAGGTAGCACATAGTACAGATAGATGCTTCAGGCAGATGAACTGCAGATAATGATAATATATACTATTGATAACCCTACATTAATAAATAATACAGAAAACTTCTAAAAACAAAATAACAGAGAGGAATTTGAGTGAGGTGAGTAAAAGCAGAAACTGAAGAACAGCTTTACTTTTATACATGCAGACCTATTTGCGTATACAGCATCAGGGATCTTTCAGACAAAAATAGAATTATTTAGTGGGAGATCTGACAAATGTCTCTAATATGAAGTAGCCTTGTGTGAAAAAAGGGTTTCTATTTGAATACAAGCCTACAGCTCAGCACGTCATTTGCCCACAGCAGTTCTTCAACCCTTTCACTTTCCAAGGGTGCACTGAGTTTCTGTTTTGCAGTGCTTTCTCAATAAGTCTTCTGTGTGTGTACTGACATGCAGCCTTATTAAAGCCTGATGTCTGTGGTAGTTTCTCTGCTTCACATCTGTCCACACAGTGCTTCTAGCTGACTGGTGTTAGAAGGCATGGCTTTCTAATTTTTGCCCTGTGATGGAGTTCAGTTATATGATTTTTACTAACTTTTCTGCTGCAATAAAGGAACCGCAGAGACACTTCAGAAATAAATATCAGACAGAGCAATGTACTGCCATTTTTATTCACGTGGAACATTATTTTGTTAAAAACCTGCAACTCAGCCGAGACTTAGATCAAGGCCCGACTGCCACCAAAGAAATGATTTGTGCAAACATTAAGCAGCTGTCTAAATAGCAACATTGTGCAGTATGTATTTACTTGCAGAAACTAGTTCAATAACTAGTAATAATTGTTACATTAATAAAACCTTCTTTTTTAATAAATGACATGGCAGAAAGATTGCCTAAATCTAAGTTATAAATTCTTTTGAATCCTTCATTTCAAGAGCATTGAATCAAATGACTTATCTCCAGAAAAAAAGAATCTAAAGAAAGGGGAAGTTTAAAATTTTTGTGGCTGGGAAACTAAACATTTCTTGAATATTTCTTAAAGAGAAATTGTCTAAAAATTGTCTGTTGTTTGATGTGGACGCAGCCTACTTTTCAAGAACCATGATCTTACAGTAAATAATTTCCGCCTGTCCATCATGACAAACAAGTTTTTTCTCAGTGAGCTCTTACTGGGAGTTAAGTGAAATGTTTATTACAGAACTTGCAGATAAAACTTGTTCATGACTCTTGATTGAACATGGGCTGATGCAATGAGTTTGAAATGGAGTTACTCTGGTTTTGACAGAAGTTAACATCTGAAACTGAAAACTCAGGGTGATTAGAGATGAATAAAGGAGTATGTATTAATTCTCAGCTGCTAGAGTCACTGAGGTTTGTGTAGCTATAGGCTGAGATAGAAGCAAGAGTCAGGGAGAGCATCTGGATTACGAAAGCATAAGTAACTTGGGTACAACAGTACAATAACAGCTTAAAAATTAGCACTGCGTTAATTTCTTTTTTTTTTTTCTGATTAATGTGTATGTATAAAAAAAATCTCCTATGATCTCTTTTGGTGTTTTCATAGCTTGTTAGTTTCTGGACAAGGAATTTGATGGTCCCATAAGATGATAGAGATTACATAGATACTGTATTTTCAAATAAGCTGAACTCAGGAGCTTAAAAGATCAAGGTGTCTTTTATTATTTTAGGGAAAAAAATCAAGAAAATAAAAATTTAATAATGCATTTTTAATCCACAGCAAGTCTTATTTCACATTGTCTTATCTCCTCTAGGAGACAGGACAAGGTGGGGCATGAAAAGAAAAATTAAGGACTCCTAGAAATCGTTTGAAGAGGAGAGGTTGAGGGGCCCTTCTCTTGTTTCTCTCCCACAAAAACATAACACAGGAGGTTATACTCCTTTCTCACTTTTTCAAGGCTCACATTGACAAGTGCAATCTCAGCACTTCTGTGAAGAGAAGATCATTCTTGTTTGTTGTCCAGGGTGGAGATTTTTTTTGCAGGAAAAATGTTGGTCTTCCTGGATGGGATGAGACTTTCTGCATGCTTAAAACCACAACACTGGCTTACATGCTAAGAGCATGTGAAATGATTTAGATGAAAAGAGTTCAAGGATGCATTCCTCTTTCATCTCTGGCTGAAAAGTCACCTCTTCTGTTTTGAAGGATGCATTTTTTTGTATCCAACAGCATTGTTTTCGCTCACACCTGGACAGTACTGTGTCCAGGTGTGGAGCCCTCAGTACAAGAAAGACATTGAGATTTTGGAAAGGGTCCAGAGGAGGGCGACTAAGATGATCAGGGGGCTGGAGCACCTCCCCTATGAGGACAGGCTGAGGGAGTTGGGCTTGTTCAGCCTGGAGAAGAGAAGGCTGCAGGGTGACCTCATTGCAGCCTATCAATACCTGAAGGGAACCTACACCCAGGAGGGGAGTAAACTCTTCAAAAGGGCTGACAACAGCAGGACTAGGGGAAATGGATCCAAGTTGAGGGAGGGAAGATTTAGGTTGGATGTTAGGGGGAAGTTCTT